GAGCAGAGGACAGGGGCTGGGTGCTCGGTGTCTTCCCCTACACAGCAAACTCTGCTTCTAGCTGCCCCAGGTCCCCACTCGGTGCCCCCTCCCTTGGGGTTTGTGGGAGCCGTCAGCTTGGGGAAGGCGACAGGTGAGTGGCCTTGCTCTCCGCACCACACCGGACAGGGGCAGCCCCAGCCTCCCCATCACCACCCACTGCAACCTCCTACTGCGGCAGGCGGGTCCTCCCTGGATTTGATCGACAGCATTTGCTGGCCACCTGCCCTCAGGCTGGTCTTTGCGCCATTAGGAGGCGGGGCCTTTGCCGGAAGAGGCGGGGTCAGGGCGGGTCCACATCTCCCTGGCTCCTCCCTTCTCCCTTTCTGTTTCCTGTCGGCCATGCTGTGAGCTGTTCTCCAGACCTCTCTGCCATGCCTTTTCCTCTCCAAACTATGAGCCAAAATAACCGTGTCCTCCTTCGAGTTGCAGTTGTCAGGTCCCGCGTCTAAGACGGCCACCTTGTAGGTCTTACTCTTCTGGCCCAAGGGACTAACTCCTCCCCTGGGAGCACTCCGGGTCTCCTTGGAAACCCTTCCTTCCGGCCACCCACGGCCTTGCCTGCCTCTAGTGGCTCGAACCTGCCCCTCCCTCTGGGTTCCACCTGCAAGTGGTGCTTACAGCGGTGCAGATTCTCCAACGTGGCGTCCTCTGTCCCCAGACGCAGCCAGACGCCAAGTCTTCCTGGTCAATCTCCTCCACTCGCGGATCTGCCCACCACCCTCTTTCCCTGCTGCTGCCGCCTGTGCCCTGGCTGGCCCTTAGTTTCTGTCCACTCCATTCCCCTGTCATGGGATGACAGCCCCTGTTCCCCCGAGTACTTTCTGTGGCTCCCGGCTTCTTCCGTAGTTGTGGAGAAATCAGCTGTCAGTCTAACCAGCTCCCCCTGAAAGCTGATTTGGCTCCCTCCCTTTCCAACTACTTTAAAGAATGTTTTTCCTTACTTTTGCATTTCAATAGCTTTGTTGTGATGGCTCCAGATGGATGAGGGGTGGGACCTTTGACCTTTTTTCCTTTTTTATTTTTCTTTCCCAAATACTGAGGATTGAACCCAGGGCCTTTGCACTGAGCTGCATCCCCAGCTTTTTATTTTTTGTTTTGACACAGAGTTGTCCCGGCTGCGTCCAAACTTGTGATCCCACGGCCTCAGGTTCTTAGAGTGTTAGGATCACAGGCATCTCCCACCCTGCCCAGCTGAGGTGTGGATATTTTCCCCCTTCCACAGGACTGACTGTAGGTTCTTGACTTTACTCTTCTCTTCTGGGACGAGGTCTGGGAGAGTGGCCTAGGTCTTGAACTCCCTTCTCTCTGCCTCAGCCTTCAGAGTAGCTTGGATTTCAGGCATGTGACACCACACTTTGTTCTTGGTGTTTCTTGAATTCACGATTTGGTATCTTCCATCAGTTCTGGACACTTAGCAGCTGTCATTTCTTAAACATTGCTTCTGCCTATTTTTTATCTTGTAGGCCTGTCCAGTTAGATCTTTATCTCTCACCCTCTCTGTTTTGTTATTTTTGTGTTTTGGTACAATGCATTCTGGATATTTTAGCCTATCTTCTTTTAGTCTAATTCTTTATTTGGCTGCATTTAATCTCATCTTCAACCCATCTGTTGAATCTTTTAAAAAATCTCCTATTAGCCAGGCGTGGTGGCACACACCTGTCATCCCACACTCTGGAGGCTGAGGCAGGAGGATCGCTGTGAGTTCATGACCAGCCTGGGCTACATAGTGAGTTCCAGATCAGTTTCAACTACATAGTGAGACCCTGTCTCAAAAAAAAAAAAAAAAATCCCCCATTATTTTGAAATTAAACCTTTGGGTTTTAAATTTCAGTTATCATTAATTTAGTTCTAGAACTTGTTTGGTTCTTATATGCATTTGCTGTCATCGTTTGTCACTTTGTGGTGGCCACCTGTGATATTTCAAGCTTGTCTTTTCTCCCTTTGCCTCCTTCCTCTCTCCCTCCCCACCTTTTCTTTTCAGTAGGCGTGGTTGGTTTCCACTCTGCCTTTTAATTCCGATGCCTGAAACTTCTTGGTTTGTCTTTGTGGGGTTTGGTTGTTGCTGCTGTGGCCCATGGTGTCTTAGTCTCTTGTGTGCCTAGTGTTATTTATGTGGGGGCATAGAGTTTGCACAATTCGGTGCAGAGATAACTTGAGGCATGTAACTGGGTTCCCCTCCTTTTTTCTTAGGCAGGTTCTTGCTATGTAGTTCAGCCTGGCCTTGAACTCACAGCGATCCTCCTGCCTCAGCCTCCCTACGCTTGCGCACCACCATGCTGGCTAAGGTTCCCCTCCCTGGAGAGGATTTTGTTGCTTCTAACAGGCTTTCCTGCCTGTCGATCCCTATTAACCCAAACCATGCAAACCCGAGTGGTGGGTGCTCTGCCAGGCCCCTCCACTTCCAGATGTGGACACCCCCGAGGATGTTGTCCTTGGGGTCCCAGCTAACTGTGGGCCCCCAACTTTTGTTTCTGTCTCCCCTTGCTCTTCATAAATGGGAACTGAGAGCTTTCTGGTGCTTCAGGCAAGAGTGGCTTCCTGTGCACACCTATCTCGAATTCCTGCTTTCCTGTCACATTTGCTTTGAACATGGGCTGGGGATTTAGCTCAGTGGTTTGGTGGCCTGCCTTGCAAGCGCAAGGACCCAAGTTCAATCCCCAGTACCAAAAAAAACAAAACAAAACAAAACAAAACATTTGCTTTGAACGTTCCTCCGTCTCTTATAAACCTTTAATGCTTTTGACAATACTTCTCTCCATTAAACAGAGATATCTGGACTTTTAAAGCTCTCTTCTGCCCAGAACGCATTACCGGAGTCTGAGCTCTCTTTCTAAACAGGAAATCCGGCCCCGTCTCCCCTCCATTTGAGAGCCGTGATGGCCCCGCTGTCCTTCAATAAGAACTCCACTCTTGACTGTGTCTCCCGAGGCCGGCAGGTCCGCCCCAGCCACCCTCCTGTTCCAGCGCAGCTCCTCCCCTCACCTGGCTCTGTCTGCCTCAGCCTCACTGAGCCTTGCTGGTCCCTGAGCACTTTCCCTCTGAGGTGGACTCGTCTTAGCCGGGCTAGGTTCTGGCTGCCCTCCCAAGTTGCGCGGCACTCCCCCAGGGAGCCTTCTCTGACTGCCTCCCACTGACTTCTTGCTAAGGCAGGTGGTTCCTCTGGGTCCCCACGGTCCCCTGTACCTCCCCCTCACAGCGCTGGTGACACGGGTCTGTAGTTTCCAGCTTCAACTAGACTGCGTTTGATCCATGTTTATGGAAGGGGTGGATGGATGGGTGGATAGATGACCGCTCAGTCATCCTCTCTCACGCTCTCTCTCTCTGGTACTGGGGGTTGAACTCGGGACCTTTCGCTTACAAGGCAGGCATGGTGCCACTGGGCTAAACCCCTGGCCCCCCATTCTGTCTCTTAGGCTCCGTCTCCTACCTCAGCTCACTGGCAGTGGGGACGGGAGGTCTGTTCGTACCTTTCTGCTCCACCGCACCAGCCCCATCTTTTGGGCTGAGTGGCTCTCGGCCCCTCCAGCATCTCCGCGAGGCTCCCGCCGCCTCCCCGCCTCCCACGTGGAGAGCTCGGCCTGTGGGTCTCGGAAAGTGCAGCGGAGGGGGCAGTTTTAGTTCCAGCTACGGAAAGCTCCTGTTCACACAGCCCCAGGCTGGGGGATGGCTCTGAGGCCGCCGGGCATTCTGACGCGGGTGAGGAGCAGCGGGGTGGGGGTGAAGCCCTCGGCCTTCCTGTCCGCCTCAGTTTCCCGCCTGTCCGGGGATCTGGCTGCCCCCTGAGGGAAGGACGCTGGCGCCATCCTGGCCCCGGGCACGAAGCACCGTCAAACTCGCCCTCGTCATCCGAAGTGCGCACACAGCCCCCTGACGCTCTGGTCACCGGTGTCGCCAGGCCCACAGCAGGTGCCCAGGTGTGCAGCGCCGGCGTACTCGGGTTTCCGTCCCCTTCATCAGGAGCGGGACGTGAGCGAGCCGCCGGGCAGGGCAAAGCACGGAAGCCGGCTGGGAGGTGCGCGGTGTGCAGCGATGGCGTCCTGGGGCGCAGCTGGCGGTGACGTGCGCACCTCGCAGAGTACGTAAAGTGTGAAGTGCCCGCTCCGTGCTCCCACCCTCCAGTTACGAAGGCTGGGACTGGAGACCAGAGAGGGACAGAGTGTGCCCAGGGACACACAGCTACCTGGGGCCGCCCCTCCTAATCCCGATGGCAGCCTCTTGGTTCCGCGCACATCCCCGAGGCCGCTGCCGGGCTGTGTTCTCTGTGCCCCTCACGGAGCCTCCAGGAAGCCCACGGCCCAGGCTCACAGTCTGCTCCCGCAGCCCCCTCTCCCCGGCCCACGCCCTACTCTGTGTCCCACGACCCAACACACCTTTCCCCACACTCCAGAGGCCGGCTGCTCCCCAGCCTCCACTGCTCACCTGAGACACCTGACCTTTTTTTTTTTTTTTTTCTTGGTCCTGGGGATCAAATTCAGGACCTTGCTCTTGTGAGGCAGGTGGTGGCACCAGCTGAGCTAAATCCCCGGTCCTGTTTGTTTGTTTTTTTGAGACAGGGTCTCCCTAGGTAGCCGTTGCTCACCTCCAACTGGCAGTAATCCTCCTGCCTCAGCCTCCTGCACCTGGCTTCGAGATCAACCTGCGTCAAGTGGATCCCTCCCCTGAGTCATGCCTGCTCTGTATTTTCACACACACTGTCTGCTGCTGTTTATGACCTCCTTTCCTGTCTTCTGTCTTTTCCTTCTTCAGGATCTACAAGGAGGTGGAAGCCCGGGATCTTTGTCACCCTTGTGCATCTGTTTCTTTGCACAGGCACTTAGTAACTATTTATGGATAAAAATCTATTCATCTAGGGGGTCTGGTGGCACCTACCTGTGATCCTAGCACGCTGGGAAGCTGAGGCAGGAGGATCACATGTTTGAACTCAGCCTGGGCAACTTAATGAGACTCGGTCTCAAAATAAGAAATTTAAAAAAAGGGCTGGGGATGTAGCTCAGTGCAGAGGCCCTGGGTTCACTCCTCAGGACTGCAAAGAGCGAAACGAAAACATTCATCTCAGACCTCGGGGCTGCAGCTCAGTGGTGGATCACTTGCCTAACGTGTGAGATCCTGGATTCCATGCCAGCTCCCAACGGAAACAGAACAAAGAGGAGAAAGGGTGAAAGATCAGTCCCCGAATTGGTGACAGTCCACGCATCATGGGCTGCTACAACCCCAGCGGCTGGCACCTGAAGCCACTCCGCTCCTGGCACAAAGTAGGGTTGAGGACGGTGGTGTCTCACCCCCTCCACCTCCAGAACGGAGCCCAGGGTCCCAAATCCCCACCGAGCCTGCTACAACCTGGCAACAAATATGCTCGATGCTTGGACGAGAGACGTTCAAGACAGAGCAACAGGGTTCACGGATGTCCTCAGCTATGATTTCGGTGGCTCGGAGCCCCCAGCCACTTGCAGAGGTGGAGGACCTCGAGGAATAAGAGACAAGCAGATGGCTTGGAAGTCAGTCGGGCACAGCAGGTGCAGGGTGGGGCCTGGGAGTCTCGGGCAGAGTCGAACTGTGCAGAATGAAGACGATGGAGCATTCCCTGGTGCCCACGCCTCACAGCTCTTTACCCTGCAGAAACGGTAACTTCCACCTCTGGGCTCCCAGTCAATGGCGTGGGGGGAGGGGACCCCCACCCCCATCCCGTGGCTCCTCTAGAAGCTCCAGGGCCTGTGTCGGCCACAGCTTGGTGTGAGCCCCTGGGGTGCCCTGACGACCTGACTCCCCGAGGGCTTCTGCAACAGGGTCCCTAGGCTGCTTGTGCACCGTAGACCCTGAGGCTCTGGTTGGCCCCTGTGCTCAGGCCCTAGCCCCTGTGCTCGCTCTCCTGTGCCCCAAGGTGGCTTCTTGGACTTTCCGGCTGGCCCAGGGTCTGGGTAGGAGGGTGTAGCCCAGTGGGTTACAGCAGTGACCCAGGTTCAAGTCCCACCCTTCAGGAGACGTCAGATGAGTTTAGCAAGGTTGCAAGAAGCAAGATCAATCCACAAAAACTGATTGTGTTTCTGCCTAATATCAAGCACTCTGAAAATGAAAATATGAGAACAATTCCGAACTTGGCTAGTGTCAAATAACTAGGAATAAGTTTAACAAGAAAAGCAGAAAAACTGCATGCTGATGAATTATTCCACTTCTTTGAGTCTCCGTTTTCTCCTCTGTAAAATGGGGATAATATCATTGTTCCTCTGAAGTTGTTGGGGTTCGTGAGGGGCCGTCTCTGGAGTGGCTGGCATGGTTCTTGCCGCTGGAGCCCCCACTGGGGCTGGGGGGCCTTCTGAGTAGACAAGCGTGGTGAGTTCCCCCTGGTAAGGTCTCAGCGAGCACAGGGACTCAGGAGCCACCAGACAAGGGCTAAAATTGCACAAAGTGTTTCCCTGCTGGGGCTGCCACTGTCATGCCAGGAATACAAATGGTGCTAAGAGTAAGACTAATGACTCTCCGGGAAGCTGAGGCAGGAGGATCCCAAAGTTCAAGCCCAGCCTGGGAAACTTTGCAAGACTCTGTCTCAAAATAAAGAATAAAAAGGGCTGAGGATGTCGTTCATTGGGAAGGCCCTGAGTTTAATCTCGAGTACTGGTTTAAAGAAAAAAATCGAGTTTGGACATTTGGGACAGGATTGGGTCCCCAGGCTTTGGGATAAAGTGGACACGTTGTGTGCATACATTTTTCTTTCTTTTTTCTTCCTTATTTCCACACAGGCTTGTGTCTGTGGTAGCTTTGCATCCTTGTGACCAAATGGCCAGCACGCACAAGTTAAAGGAGGAATAGTCTATTTTCCCCCTGGACTCTGAACTCAAGGTACGGAGGGTTCAGTCCATGGTCACCCAGCTCCAGGGCAGGAATATCATGGAGGAAGGGCATGGTGGAGGACAGCTGCTCATTTCATGGCAACAGGAAGTGGGGGGGGACAAAGAAAGTGAAAGGGGAAGGGCCAGGGACCAGAACACAAAACCTAACGATTTCTCCCTCAGCTCTGAGCCCATTCGTGGATGACTCCATCCTCTACAGTGCTCCCATGACCCAGTTACCTTCTGAAAGCCCCACTTCTGGACACGTGAGTCTCTTGGTGGACATTCTAGATCTTTTTTGTTTTTGTTTTTTTGAGACAGGGTCTCACTATGCAGTTCAGGCTGGCCTCAAACTCACTATGTGGCCCAGGCTGGCCTTAAACTCTTGGCAATCCTCCTGCCTCAGCCTCCTGATTGCTGGGATCACAAACGTGTACTACAGGTGTGGAGTGGTGGAAATGTTCTGAAATTAGACCATGGCAATGGTTGCCTGGCTCTATGAATGAACTAAAACCTACTAAATGGTACTCTTTAAAAGGGTAGATTTTATGCCATGTGAATTATGTCTCCATGAAGCAGCTATTTAAAAAGGGAGGGGGGCTCATCTGGGACCCAAGGGAAGCGTAGGAACAGATGAACAAGCTAAATGACACCATGGAGATGCAGACAGCAGACGTGGGCTGTGGACAGGCCCCACGACAACTGACTCAGTCTGTCCAATATGTCAATGGAATGAAAATAAGCTTTTAAAGTCACAAGACCAGTTGTGTGTGGTGACTGTGATCTTAGCACTTGGTAGGAGGCTGAGGCAGGAGGATTGCTGCAAGATCGAGGCCAGCCTGGGCTACAGAGTTCAGGGCCAGCCTTAGGGAATTAGGTGATGCCTTGGGGCTCTAGGCCCTGCTCTCCTCTTCTTGTTCATCGTGGACGTGGTGGTTGCTCCCAGCAGTTGACACTTTTGTGTGCGCGCGCACACACACACACATGTGCACCCATGCATGAGAGAGCAAAGCCCACCTCCCTGAGGCCACCGTCTGTTGCTGTCCTCCGGTCATGCAGTCCCGAGTCCACACCGTGATCTCCATCTCTGCCTCGGTCACCTTCTGCCCCCACTCCGGATGTTGAGGAGCCGAGCTTGGCAGACCAGAGAGTGGACAATGGGCCTTTTGCAGGCCAGGCCAGGGCCCGCGACTCAGCCCTGGGCTGTGGCCGAGGCCGCCACAGAAGGCTGCTTGTGGCCGGACCGGGCAGCAGCCAGAAATAGGTCCTGCCAGAGCCAGCTCCTAAGGGCCGCACCCTGGGCCCGCTATTTGTAGAGCCGAGGGAGGAGACCTTCATCGGGCCAGCGGGTCTCTGAGGGCCTTAGGGGAGGCGGGGAGAAGGCAGACCCCAGCCTTCAGCACCCACCCTCACTTTTGCTGGGTGCTCCTGTGGCCCAGGCTCACGTCCAGGGTCTGTCTTCCCTGCTGGCTGTGGGGACAGCCCCCAACCCCGTGATCTGGGGGCTCCCCAGACTCACTTAGAGATTGAGTCCTTGTGCGCCAGGGCCCTGTGGGGTGCACTCCATGCTGGCCGGCAGGGAGGGGCTCACGTGTCCGCAGGCTTCGGTGCCCCTTCCCTTGGCTGGAGCCCTGCATTCCGGCCTCTGGTCCACAGGGAGCTCCGTTCCTGGGTTTGGACCCCAGGGCCCTTGCAGAGGCAGGGCCAGGAGCCTCACAGCCCTGTCTGCCGGGAGCCCGGGCCAGGGCTTCCCTCCCGCCTGGGTGTCCTTGTAGCTATTTTTATGTGTGCTGCAAGCCAGAGCGACAGCCCAGCCAAGGCCTGCCAGGGCCTGTGTGCCTGAGGGGCCTGTGTGCCTGAGGCTTGCCCTGGGGATCACAGGCTGTTCCCAGAAGGCCATGAAGCCCATCCAGGAGCCCCACTGACCCCGGACATTTGGGGGTCCTTGGCAGGGGCCTGTCTGGCAGAGCAAGGCTGCGGTGAGGGGCAGTTTCGAGATGAAGCTCACGCTCTCTTCATTCATTACGAATTTCAACAGAACTTTGAGACCTCCCTGGGTGACTTATGGAGACCTTGTCTCAAAAGAAAAAAATAAAGGCCAGGGATTTAGCTCAGTGGTTTGGTTGCCTGCCTCACAAGCACAAGGACCAGAGTTCGATCCCCAGTACAAAAAAAAAAAAAAAAAAAAAAAAAAAAGAAAAAAAAAAAAAAAAAACAAAAG